CACACACACACACACACACACACACACACACACACACACACACACACACACACACACACACAGAAGAACTCTGCAGGCTGAGGGCTGTGTGGTGCAGAGGAGGGAGAGACACTGGAGCAACATGGAACAACTTTTTCCTTTTTTTAAAGGACCAGTTTAAGCTTTGATTTTACAGTTTTCTGTGAAAATAATGATTGAATATTTTGCTAACAAAACCATCCCGGGTTTCGGCACCAACATGTAGAGAAAACCCTCGTTAAAATCATGAATATGATTTTAATTAAGAGTATCCCTCCCGGTTCGAGATGGTCTCTGTCAATTGGTTTCTACTTTTAAGCAGTTGAGCTAATTAATTAAGCAGTTGGTCTAAGAACTTTAACGAAGCAAAAGCAGGTTATTTTATTTACATTCAGGGTCAGGGTGTATGTGCATGTATGTGTGTGTGGATATGAGAGAAAAAATGAGAGAGACAAATACACAAGCAGGACAAGACAAATAAACCTTTTAAGGTTGTCTAAATGATGTTTTCCAGCTGTGAGRCTGTGGACCAAAGCTGAGCACACACATCAGCTTTACGTTGTCCAGGAACCTCTCCAACCGAGACCAGACGTTAGCTCTGGGTAGATGCTTGTTGAACAGCACAGACCGAGGCCTCTCTTGGTCAGCTGAATGGGTAAAACAGGCCCCTTTTCATGGACTCAGACTTATCAGCAATGTGGCAGTGGTTTCAGAACCAATAGGTCCATCAGGAACTTTGAAAAACTCACAACAATGAATAATGGCTCCAGGTTTCCGGCTGAGCAGACCAAAGTGGTATTCCAACAAAAAATAGTATTTCCATGTAAGAGAAAGAAAAATATGCTGCAAAAAGAAACTGGAAAATGTGGCTGTTTTCCAGCACAGAAAGAGCAAGGAAGCCAGAAAGGAGACCTGCACCTCTGACCCAGCAGGGCGAGGACAGACAAGCAGACAGGCTGACCAACAGGAAGCAGAGAAGCTTTTTAAACAGATACAGTGAACACTGCGTTCTCACAGGAAACAAGACCTGTGAAGGAGTGTTATCTCGCAGGTGTTCGTGTTTGGTGAAGAGTTTCCATGAGAACCATGTGTGTGTGTTGTTTTTGAATGTGGCAGACCCAAGGCTAAAACATCAAAACAAAACACCAACATTTCTGAGCAGGATTAACTCAACTCTTAAAAAACATTAGACCAATATTTCAAACAACTGATTAATTATGAACTATTATTAGTAAATTAATAAAATGATTGAGTAATGCTTGTTTAAAGTAGAAGAAGTGAAAAGATAAAAATATAAGCATTGATTAAAATATACAGTATTCTGTTATCACTAACTCGTAAATTTCTAAACATGTTCTAAACACAAATGCAAAGTTATAAACTATTATTAGAGAGCCCTTGAAAAGTAAAGACAAAAGTCAAACATTTTAAAGGGTTTAAGCATTTGAATTATACATGTTTGAAGGAGAAAAACAACAGTAACAACAACAGAAGCTTTGTTTGTTTTATTTTATCAGTAGAATAACAAATTTCTTGAGAACATGATCTTTCCCAGTGGAAAGTAAAGGCAAGAAAAGCTTTTTATTTTTTGATAGCTCTCATCGAGGACTGAAACAGTTCAGTCTGGGAGAGGAGAACTTTGACCTCAGGCAGTCAAAGGTCAACCAGTGGTGAGATGAGGTTAGGTGAAGTGAGATAACACTACACTTATAACATTTACCTTTAACATGCTTGTCTTATAACCTTTACCTTTAACATGCTTATCTTATAACCTTTACCTTT